TGGTGAAGCTTCGAGAACTCAAGATACTTCCAATCCAGAACCACTTCCCAACACAGGTGACCTCAGGGAGGCCATGAACTTCTATTTCCTCGTGTTACTGACATAAAACCATGTGCCATTAAAAGATAAAGTAGAAATAGACTTCTCTTTTCATTAGAAGTTGAGGTGTGACCGGAAGAGTCAAGAACTTCCTGCTGAAGGCTTGAGAGGGGGGGGAGCTCTGAGTCGTGCCCAGCCCAGAGTGTCACTGTCACAGCAGCCGAGGGAGGGAAAAAGGAGAAGCGGGAACAAGAATGGCAGAAAATGTCCTTTATGCTGACCTGAACTTGTCTGAATCAACCAGACCCAGAATCCTGACAGTCCCTGATGACCAAGGTAGGTCCAGTGCTGGGCACTGAGCTTTCTTTGCATTCTCCACTCTCTCTCCCACATCTCTTGAGAGAGTTCCTTGCAGCACCAAAGCCCCAAAGAGCACAAGGGAAACCTGACGGCCAGGGCTGGAAAACTGCAGGTGGAGTGTCCAGAGAGGGCTATTTTCAAAGGCAGGTTGTTGGAAGATCTACTTTGCTCTTGCTAAGGCACAGGTGTCAGGCAGTGTCTCTGGGGTGAGATTGAGAGTCCTTTTTATCCATTTTGGAGAGCATTCCAGAGCTGAACATCCATTGCTGCTGGCCCTGGCCTGTTGTGCCCCAGCAGACTGAGATTGCTGCAGCAAACTGCTCAGGATGGAGTGGCTGCTGTTGCTGGTGCTCACAGCAGTCTCCTGCACAGCTGCTCCTGCTCCCTGAGCACAGCAGGCACTGCCTGGGGGCTTCTGCTCCTGCTCTGGCTGTGCCAACTGCTTGTTGAATGCACCAGCCTGAAAAAATGTTTCATGGACAGCTTTAGTCCGATTTGAGATCAACAATTGCAAAATTCTAACCAAGGATTTCTCTTTCTTTAATGAGTTTAAAGTGGTTGCATGTATGTTTTCACTGGTTTTGCAATATCTGCCATGAAAGTACATCCTATAAATTAACAGACTTCCTGCTGTGTGTCTCTGTATTTCATTTTCATTTTTCTTCTCTTTCTTTCTATCCCGGCTTTCACTCTGGCATAAATTGTTTCTTGCAATCCATTGTTTGTCTTTTGCACTAAGTGTGACCCCTCTGCATGTCTTTTTGGATGTGTGGACTTACTAACATCCCAGGAAAGAGGGTTTTACCACCCCTTTCAATGGATGAATTCAGAGTTCAATTGACCACAGTAGATGCCACCTGATAACAAGTTCCATTTTCCTTAGAATTTAACTCATGTATTCCTATTCAGAATTTTGTTAGATTTCTAGTAACATCTGGGTGTTTCTCTGCTTGTGCCTTTTAGGGAAACCCCTACCAATTCTTCTATGTGTTCACTGAAATTGTGCACAAGATTTCCCAGATATTGTCTCCATCTTCTAAAAAGAGCTCAAATCCCTGACTTCCATCCCAGCTCTGTACAGTGATAGAATCCAGGGGGCTCAGTGTTGCATATCACGATGACTTGGAGAGTTTTATAACACTGCAACGTCATATTTTTGACTTTTTACCCACTTTTGATCTCCCTCTGACCTTTCTTTCCTCTCCATATGTTTTCTTCTCTGCTGCTCTCTATTTATTACCTGCAGATGATGGAATAGATTTCATTACTCTCCCTGTTATCTGGGTTATTTAGATAAACACTCAAACCCCTCCAAGTTTAGCACAATCTGCAGTTTTCAGGCTTTGATGTTTTAGTCATTCTCACCATTCCTGTCAGGATGAACAACCTTGGACCACCCTTGGCATTTTCCTCCCCTTTTTCAAGGCTGACAATGTGAGTGTGTGCCCCTGTGCCCTCTGGTATTGTCTGCCTCGAAAAGAAATCAGTTCTGTTCCTGCATCTAGCAAGTGCTCCAAGGGTGAAAGAGTCATCATGAAACATGGAATCAGAATATCCTGAGCTGGAAGGGACCCACAAGGATCATCCAGTCCAACTCCTGGCCCTGCACAGATACCCCAATAATCCCACCCTGTGCATCCCTGAGAGTGTTTTCCAAATGCTGCTTGAGCTCTGGCAGCCTTGACCATTCCCTGTGGAGCTTGTTCAGTGCCCCAGCACCCTCTGGAGGAAGAATCTTTCCCTGATATCCACCCTGACCCTGTTCTGACACAGCTCCAGCTGTTCCCTTGGGTCCTGTCCCTGGTCACACAGAGCACAGATCAGTGACTATAATGGAGAAAAATATAATTTGTGCATAGTTAACCACAGTCACATCAACCAGTTGCTGTTCTGTGTTCAGCATTTCTCACAATTTCAGTCATTTTTATTTAATTTAAATTGATTCTCAGCTCTCTTTGTGCTCTGTTCTTATTCCCAGGCTCAGGCTGTACCTATGCAGAAGTGAAAGTGAAAGCCCAAGACACAAATGCTGCAACAAACTGCAAATCATCAGGTGAGTTTAGCTGTCTGATAAAGTGATGGGAATTTAAACAAGAAGAGCAGAGGGGCTGATCCTGATGCCCCAAACATGCAGTGACACAAAACCATGAGGAGGCAGGAGGATACAATTGTCTGCTTTCCACACTCAGAGCAGGGACAGCTGAGGTGTTGTATCCTGTGCCCCTGAACACTTGTTGGCTTTCCTGGCAAAGGAATAGAAGGATGTGATGGGGCACACCCAGACCCCCCGAGCCCAGGCTCCTGTCCCCAGCAGCAGGGAAAGTGAACAAAGGAGAGGAGGAAGCAGAGGGAGGGCATTGATTGCAAGGCCTCTCCTGCTTTTCCCCTCTCCTCAAAGCCATGGCAGGTTGGGATCTGTTCAGTTCCCTGAGCACAGGGCTCCAGAGCCAGTGGGGAAGCACCAGGACATTGAGCCTGGCTCCAGCCTGCCAACCTGGAATGCTCCAGAGTCCCAGTGGGAGCCTGAAAAGGCACCTTGGAATGCAGGGCAAAGGGGCTTCTGTCCAGCTGTTCCCTGATCTTTATGTTTCTGTCCCTCTGTAGGTAAAAGCCGTTGTTCCAGAAAACCTGTTGCCATATTGGTGGTGATAATCCTCGTGCTGGTCCTGGCAGTATATTTAATAATCACGTGTAAGTTCTTTTGTTAGTGTCATAGCAGGCATTTATTTGTGACTCTCTCCCACTGACTGATGTCCAGGCCATGACATACAAAGCCAGTAGAAAACAGAAGTTTGGTTTGAAGGGAAAGGACAGCAGTTTTTAGCCAAGCATGGCTGTAAGAGGAAATCTGTATGAGAGTCAAGTGGTTTGAAAGTTTAAAATTCCAACAGATATAAAAGCCAAAATCCCAATGAAAAACTGACAATATTCAAATTATAAAGAATTTATTATATAAATGTTTTGAAGAAACAAGGTAAGATGTGATAATGCCTACCAGTGGTGCAATTGCTAACTGTGAGAATCCCACAAGGTGATGAGGTTGTATCATGAGACCAAGATGTCCATAACACCAAAAATCTTAAAATAATTAGGAATTCAAGTTCATTTGCAGGAGGCAAGTAAATCACATCTTAAAGGAGTTTCCTGAAGATCATGACATATTTTGAGCTACATAAAAAGATAAATTATATTTTGTAGAAAAAAAATCTTACTTCCATCAGAAAAAAAAAATAATAGAACCAATTGGTATTTCCTTTAAAAGTTTTCAAAGAACCATTTTAAAACTTCAGATGGTTTTGCTTGTTTCTTTCCGTCCTTTCATAGCTGAGAAAGCTTGAGAAGTTTCCTCAACCAATCACTCTCAAGTCCCAGAGTTTGCCACCTGCTCAGAGATGCACATGGAGAACACTTTGATCCTTGGAACTTAAAAAACAGGGCTGGGGGAGGCAAGTCGTTCTTCTTTTTCAGGGCAAAGAGTTCAGGATTGATATCTGACAGTGCCCAGACATTTATAAATGTCAAACAGCAAAGGGTGGGGCAAATTAAAAACAAATAATAAACCAATAGAAAATAAAAGGTGTCATTTTCATTTAATACAGCTTTAATATTAACACTGAAAGAGGAGTTCTTACACTTAGATCCAGATCTGACTTTAGTTATTGTTCTTTTGTGAGGCTCAGTTCTGTCTCCAAACTGCTACAGACCTGAAAAAATACTCCTAAGAAACTTGAGATCTAGATCAAACTTGAGAAATGAAATCAAGGTAGTTTTTACATTCAAGAGCAAACAGTTTCACTTTGCTACAAATCAAAACTGGTGCATTTCGAGCTTATAAAAATGCAGGTGTTGAGTGGTGGGTGCTGCTGCCTATTATCTGTTCCCAACAAAGCTCTGCTGCAGAAAAGCAGGCTGGGTCAGCATTCAGGCAACACTGTCAAACCCCACCCAACACTCACTGCAGCTGGCTCAGCCAGAGAGGCAAGAAAGGCTCTTTTTGCAAGGTTTTATTCCAGTGAAGCATGAGGCTGAAGGGGACCAGTGAGAAAGAGAGAGAACCACGTGGAGCAGGCAGCTTAAGAAGGGGAAGGTGTGGGGAGCTGAGCTAAGGGCAGGGCAAAGGGGATCAGTATCCAGGGGAGAGGGGGTCGGCCAGGAGGGGACAGGGAAAGGGGAAACCAGGGGAAATCCATGTGGGAGTCTTTTTCCTGCAGGAGGAACTACTCCATGGCAGGTAGTCACTGCCATTGATAGGGCAGAGGACTTGGGAATTGGCTGAGAGAGTTTATGGGATGCTACAAGTTTATGCTGTTTTAGTTTTGTATGAATTTTCCATAGGGTCTTATTTTGCCAAATACACTGTTATTAAGATATAAGTTGTGTGAATGAACTCAAGTGTTGCCTTTAATTCAGTGGAACTCGACCCGACCATGTTATGATTTTTATAGTAGACTCATGAGCAAAGAGGCAGAGTTTGCATTCTGTTGGGTGATGGGGGTTCAGAGAGGTCCAGCAGAGCTCTGACAGTGCCTGGCACAGTGGTCATTCCTTGCAAGCAGAAACTGTGTTCTTATTTCCAGATGGTCCAAATACAGGCAGCCAAAATGGCTCAGAAACCCAGTCCCACAGCAGCCACGAGCATACAACAGGTATTATCCCCTACCACTCAAGAGGACACAAAAATATTGTCCCCCACCAAAGAGGACCCAATAACATTGCCCCACATCCCTGAAAGGGCACCAGGTAGGCAATCCTCTATCTTTCCAAAGGGAGTCGCCAGAAATCTGTTGGATTGATGGTTAAGGGGGACAGAAAAGGAACTCTGTCAGGATTTTGTTCAGAAGGAACACAAACAACCCCTCTGCCATGTCAGGAGCACAAACCTCCCCCTGGGACACTCCCAGGATGAGCTCTGGAGCCCATGGAGGGTTTGCATTTGCAGCTCCTTTGGAAGCAGTGCAGGCTCAGCTCTGCATTCCTGCTCCCCAGGGAAGAGCTGATGCCCCTGTGCTGCCAGAGCAGAGCAGTGGGAGGCAGGGAAGGCACAGGAGGAACAATCCCTCAGGCACCCAGCCCTGCAGGGAGCAGGATGGACAATGTGCCTGTGCTGCTTTCCCAAGGCCCCTCGACTGCCAGCCTGTGACCTCAGTGCAATTCCAGGCTGCCCTTCAGGAGCTGCTGGATCCCCAACCAAAGTGTCTCCTGCAGGCCCTGTCTCCCTGAATCCCATCCCCTTTCCAGCTGCCCCTCCCTGCTCCTCCTGCTGCCCTGCCTGGCAATGCACACAAATGTTGGTGCTGCCAGTGGCACCTGTGCTGCCCAATTCTGCATCAGGCAGACCAGACTGTGGGGATCTGAGAGCTGCTTTGTGCCCTGAGCATTTCTCTGTATGCCCGGAGCAAAGCTGGGCAAGGCTGGATCATGTTTGCTGTGCTGCTGCTCCCTGTCTGGCTCCTGCCTGCTGATTCTGGGCTGCCATCAGCCCCAGAGGCTCTGGGGGATCCCTGGTGCTCTGCTGACAATTCTCAGCAGGAGCACACAGGCATTTCTGAGGGCTGGAAAGGCCTCTCTGTCCTCTCCATTGTTGTGGTATCCTTTGGTCAGTGTGAACATGGATTTTACACACCTCTTCTTCCCTTCTGCAGCCTGCCCCATAGCATGGAACAAACATGGCAGAAAATGCTACTACTTTTCTCCAGAGAGGAAACCAAAGGACTGGAATGCCTCCCATGCAGAATGCACTGCCATGGGCTCAGACCTGGTGGTCATTGACAGCAGGGAAGAGCTGGTGAGATCCAACTCCTGGGGCAGCTGCTTGGGGGGCTGGAGCTGCCTGGCCAAGGGCTCAGCAGTGACCCTTGTGCCAGCCCCTGTCCCATGGCCTTGGGCTCTGGGACCTGCTGCCAGCCATGCACAGCCCAGGCCTGGCAGTGGCAGCAAAGGCCTGCACAGGGAGAGGCCTCCTGGGCCTTGCAGTCCTGTCCCTGGAAGCTTCTGTGCCCAGGCCTGATGCCATGGCAAGGAGCAAAGTCCCTGCCCAGCTGGCTGGGCTTTTCCAGGGGTTTAGCACACAGGCCATGGAGCTTGAGCAGACACTTCTTTGGGAGAGCCATGGCTGGGACAAAGCCTGAAACGGGTTTGCCACCCCCATCCAAAGGGAAAAGTGGCCCCTGGAATGAAGTCACACCTGACTGACATTATTGCACAGCTATAATGGCCGTACAGGTGTATTATTACATTTATTATCTTCATATGGTACCTCCAAAAGGGAGATGATCTTATATAGAATGGAGAAATTCATCCTCTGGAGCAGTGTGCAGAGGTGCTGTGACTGAATGCACACTGCACTCTCTGTGCTGCCTGTTCGGCACTGAGCCTTCTGTGCCTCTGCTGAAGAAAAGGTCATTTTCATTTATTCCCAATGTTGGTTTCCTTTCCAGAAATTCCTGCACAAAAAATCAAAAGATAAATACTACTTCCTTGGTCTCAGATACTCTCCAGAGGAGCAGAAGTGGAAGTGGATCAACAACGTGGAACATGACCCAGCCATGTGAGCTCCTTCCAGCAAGTCCCTGCCATGCAGTGTCTGGGAAGAGGAAAATGCCAAAGGCAGAGCAAAGAGCAGAGAGCCCAAGGGAGATCAGGGACTGTGCTGTGGGGGAAGCTGATTGCTGGAGATGCAGGGGCTTCAGCACAAGCCTGGGCCAAGGAAAGGAAGCCTTGCAGGGCCAGGGAACACAGGACTGTCCTGTAGGGATGGCAGGAGAGGACACAGCTGGAGTTCTGCTGGGGAAGGAAGGATCTGGCTGGATGCAGCTCCCTGGGGAAAAGAAGGACACAGGAGGCAGGGACAAGAGAGAGAGGAGGATGTCAGCACCATTGGCTGGAGGGGACCAAAGCAGGGGAATGTTTCTGGATGGGAAAGCATTGCCCAGAACCTTTTGTGGAGATGTGGGGAACAACAGTGAGGAATGGGAGGCGGATTCCAGCAAGGCAGTTCCTGATCTCTGTGGCAATAAACAGCTTAGCAGCCAGGCCAGGTGCCACTCTGCCCTTCACTGCATGTCAGGAATGGAACCAAATTTGACTTTTTTCTCCTCATCAGGTTCAGCATAAGCGGACAATACCGAGACTATCTCTGCACAGCCATTGGATATGGTGAAGTACATGCTGCAGGATGTGGTGGAGATAACACAACACAAAATATGTGTGAAAGAGCTCCAAGAATGACAAAAAGGCATTAGAAGTAGAGCTAAAAGCAAGAGGTGCAGGCTGATCTGTTCTGCCCAGCTTCCTGTAGGAACCATGGATGGGATGTGTCCCATTTCCCTTGAGCTGCCCAGTCTCTGCTCCCAGGCTCTCCTGCAGCCTCTCTCCAGCCTCGGGGCTGAGCTCAGCCCAGCCTTTCCCTGCTGCTGCCTGAGCCTGGATGGATCCCCTCTGGAAGAGCTGGCCCTGGCACACAGGAGCACTCTGGCACTGTCTCATGCCAGAGGTGGCACTGCCAGGCAGGCACTGCCAGGGGAGAGGAGTCCAGCCTGGGCACAGGGGTGATCCCAAACACATCCTGACTCATCTGCAAGTCCCATCCATCCCCAGCCCTGTGTTCCCAGCCCTGCCTGGGCACAAGGAGAGCCTTCCCCACCTGGCCACAGCCTGGCCTTGCCTGCAGCCACAAGGGAAGGGCAGCACAGGTTTCTGCCTGGGATCCTGCAGGGAAGGCCAACCCCACTCCTCGCCAGGATGGACATGAGAAATTCAGGTGGGGGTGTGGATATTCCTTCCCCTGTCCCAGACTGTTCCAAGAGCACACAGGATCCCAGAGCCTGGGAGGGGAATGGGAACCGGCCCAAGGGAAAGGATCCTACAGCAGCACAGCTCTGGGCATAAAATCAGCCCCAGTCCTGTGTGGGGAATGGAAGGAATGTCAGATCTCACATCTGCTGGGAAAGTGCACAGGAGGGAGACAAGCAGAGAGCAGCAAGGCCTGGAGAACAGAGTCCCAACAGAAGCTGAGCTGGACAGAAAACAGAACAATAAACCCTCAGTGATCTGTGAAGGAGCTGGTGAGAAGCATGAGAGTGACCCTCAGGGAATGGCAACACAGTGCTCTGCCCTCTTTTCCTTGGAGATTGCTCACAGGACAGGGCAGCTCTTGGATGTGCTCTGGGTCCCCCCAGAGATCTCCCCTCAGGTGTCTGGGCTGACTGCTGGGCCCCTGTACAGTTCCTCTGCTTTCCACTGCATGGAATAAAACTTTTCTTTGCAAAATACAAAGCAGTGCTTGTGTGTAAGTGGGTGAAACTTTGGGAACTACAGACACTTCCAATCCAGAACCTCTTCCCAACACATGTGACCTCAGGGCAAACATGAGTGTTGTGGGGTTCCCAGGATGAGGTGAGGGATGACAATTTGACTCCATGTTGTCAGAAGGCTGATTTAGAATCGTCTTGGTTTGGAAAGACAGAAGTCTGCTAAGGAAGGCAGGAGCCTCCCCCAAAATGGAGAATGTAAACCCTCCCCACCCCTCTAAATTGCTATAAATTTTAAATTATGGGTTTCTCAGGTAAAAATATGGGAGCAGGAAATTACAGTTCTTTAATCGGGAAGAAAAAAAATTAAAGGACAAAATAAACAATGCAGTACATGAAAACAACAGTGACAGAGTCAGAACCTAACCTGACACCCTGTACGTCAGGGTATTGGGAGCAGTCCAATTGGATATGTTGCTGCATCCCTCCTGGGGTGTCTGGTGGGGTACCATTGAGGCAGGGGTTCCTGTAGAGAAGGATGTTTTCTTCCTCTGAAGAAAGAGGCAGCTGCTGTTCCTCTGGAGATTCCAGTGGAGAAAGCCATCGTGGTGTCTCAAAACCTCCGGATTATATCTGGGTAGTAATGCTTGGCTCCTCCCTCTGGGCGGAGCATCTCATCATGGGATGTCACAGTTCTTATCAGTCATGCAGTGACATTCAATACCTGTTATCAACAGATGTCCTCCCCTGAGGAAGGAGTGATTGTGATCAATCAGAGAGAGAGATAAGGCAAACAGCCCACTTGACAAAAGACAATATGCCATACAGATGTTAATTGAAAACAGCTTGCAATGCAATCTTCAACAATAATTTTATTATATTATATTAAAAGAAATTATATATTAAAACTATACTAAAGAAAGAGAAGGGAGACTTCAGAAGGCTTCACAAGTATGATAATGAAAGCTCATGACTGACTCCTCAGAGTCTGACACAGATGATGGTGATTAGTCATTAATTGAAAACAATTCACACAGAACCAATCAAAGACAGACCTGTTGGAAAATGATCTTCAGACCACATTTCCAGACAATCAGATAATTCTTGTTTTCATTCTTTTCTGAGGCTTCTCAACTTCCCAGGAGAAGAAATCCTGGGGAAGGGATTTTTCAGAAAATAACATGGAGACAATGAATTTGTATTTTCTTATGTTCCTCACATAAAACCATGTGCCTTCAAAAGATGAAGTAGAAATTGACTTCTCTTTTCATTAGAAGTTGAGGTGTGACCGGAAGAGTCAAGAACTTCCTGCTGAAGGTTGGAGAGGGGAGGGAGCTCTGAGTCATGCCCAGCCCAGAGTGTCACTGTCACAGCAGCCGAGGCAGGAGAGAGCAGAGTGGAACAAGAATGGCAGAAAATGTCATTAACTCTGACCTGAACTTGCCTGAACCACCCAGAGCCAGGCTACACACCATCCCTGATGGCCAAGGTAGGTCCAGTGCTGGGCACTGAGCTTTCTTTGCATTCTCCACTCTCTCTCCCACATCTCTTGAGAGAGTTCCTTGCAGCACCAAAGCCCCAAAGAGCACAAGGGAAACCTGAGGGCCAGGGCTGGAAAACTGCAGGTTGAGTGTCCAGAGAGGGTTGTTGATATTTAAAAAGGCAGGTTGTTGGGAGATCTACTTTTCTCTTGCTAAGGTGCAGGTGTGAGGCAGTGTCTCTGGGGTGAGATTAAGAGGTGTTTTTATCCATTTTGGAGAGCATTCCAGAGCTGAACATCCATTGCTGCTGGCCCTGGCCTGTTGTGCCCCAGCAGACTGAGATTGCTGCAGCAAACTGCTCAGGATGGAGTGGCTGCTGTTGCTGGTGCTCACAGCAGTCTCCTGCACAGCTGCTCCTGCTCCCTGAGCACAGCAGGCACTGCCTGGGGGCTTCTCCTCCTGCTCTGGCTGTACCAACTGCTTGTTGAATGCACCAGTGTGAAAAAATGTTTCATGGACAGCTTTAGTCTGATTTGGGATCAAACACTTTGCAAAATTCTAACCAAGGATTTATCTTTCTTTAATGAGTTTCAAATGGTTGCATAAATGTTTTCACTGGTTTTGCAATATCTGCTATAAAATTGTATCCTGAATATTAACAGACTTCATACAGTGTGTCTCTGTATTTCATTTTCATTTTTCTTTCACTTATTTCCTAACCCTGCTTTCACTCTGGCAGAAATTATTTCTTGCCATCCATTGCTTGTCTTTTGCACAAAGTGTGAACCTTCTGCATCTCTTTTCAGAAAACTGGAGTTATTAATATCCCAGGAAATGGGGTTTTAACCTATTTGGACATATGCATTCTCAGCTAACTTGACAGGAAGCCACAATGGATGTCACCTAAATAAAAGTTCACTTGCATTGTAATTTCAAGTTTTATACATTTTCAGTAACATTTTAATGTTTCTCTTCCAGTGCCTTTTTGGAAAATATCTACCAACTCTTTTCTTATTTTGTGCACAAATATTTCCAGGTACTGATCTCTAGCTTTCAGCAAAGAGCTGCTTTCCTGCCTGGATCACATTCTCTCAGAGCAGTCCTTTTTAGCTCCTCTTTATTGAGCCCCCTCTACTTCAGACAGCTCCCTCTGTCACCCACCCACCCTCTGTGTGTCCTTCTGCAGTCCAGGCCTTGGAACACTCTCCTGCTTTTCCCATCTCCTCAAAGCCATGGCAGGTTGGGATCTGTTCAGTTCCCTGAGCACAGGGCTCCAGAGGCAGTGGGAAAGCACCAGGACATTGAGCCTGGCTCCAGCCTGCCAACCTGGAATGCTCCAGAGTCCCAGTGGGAGCCTGAAAAGGCACCTTGGAATGCAGGGCAAAGGGGCTCTGTGCAGCTGCTCCCCACACCTGGATGTTTCTGCCCCTCTGTAGGTCAGAGCCATTGTCCCAGAACACGAGCTGCTGCTCTGCTTGCTGTCCTGCTTGTGATCATCCTCCTGCTGGCCATAGCCCTGTATCTGACACTCACCACGGGTAAGTCCTGCTGGAAATGGAACACTGGCACGTAAATGGTGTCTGTCTGCTACTGACTGGTGTCCAGGCCATGGCATCCAAAGCCAGGAGGAATGGAAGTCTGCTGTGAAGGCAAAGGACAGCAGTTTTCAGCCACCCATGGCTGTGAGAGGAAATCTGTAAAAGAAATGCCAGGTGCTTTGAAAGTTTTAAAATCCAGGAGATAAAACGCCAGAACCAATTGGGAAGTGACAAGGTTCAAACACTTCACAATTCATGATAGAAAAGCTTTTGAAGAAACAAGTAAAGACCAGATAATGCATGACCTTGATCAGATTGTAATCCTTGAGAATATTTTGAGATGACGATATTGCATCATGGCACCCAGGTGTGACACCAAAACTCTTAATATAATGAGGAATAAATGCTCCTTTGAGAGAGACAGCAAAGTTACACCTTCAAGGAATTTTTGTCGCCTCACTGAAATAAAAGCCTTGTGCTCAGGGTCTGCAGAGATATCACCAAGTTTATACCAATGTCTGAGCTACTGAGAAAGACACATTAATTCCATAGAAAGAAAATACTATCATATCCAGGGAAAAATTAATAATAATTATGGCCATATGGTACTTTGCAAGTTTTCAAGGATTTAACTGTCAGATATTTCTCATTGTCTCTTTCCATCTTTTGATAATTACATAAGTCTGAAGGGTTTCCACAGCCAATCACACTCAAGTCTCAGAGTCTCCCAACGACTCAGAGCTACCCATGGTGAAAAAATTGCAAAGCCTTTAGTGTATTTGGTGTAAAGCATAGGCTTGGGTGGGGTGATTGCTTTTTGGTTTCCAATGCAAAGAGTTCAGGGCACCTATGTAAAAGTGCTTTGATGTGTATAAAATGTTCAATATCAGAGCAAGGACAAATTAAAAAGAAATAATAAACCAAGACAACAGAAGGAGGTGAAATTGGCTGCATTTAATGGAGCACAAAATCTGGACTTGCTGTGGTTTGTCTCCCATTGCTGTGGCTCCCTGTGTGCTGTGCCTCACATCCACCTCTGCTCTGGGAAGGGCTGGAGCAGTTCTGGGTCAGTTCTGGGCTTTGGCCCTTGGGAAGGGAACACCTTGGGGTGTGCTGCAGCTTTGAGGGTTGTTTGCCAGGAGTGAGCAAAGAGGCAGAGTTGGCATTTTGTGTTGTGTGATGGGGCAGCCAAAGAGGCCCAGCAGGGCTCTGACAGTGCCTGGCACAGTGGTCCTTCATTGCAATAACAATTGTATTCTCATTTCTGCATGGTCCAACTGCAGGCAGCCAACAGGGCCCAACAGCATTGACCTCCAGCAGCCAAAATGTCTCAGCACCATTGTCCCCCAGCAGCCAAGAGGAATCAACAGAGCTACCCCCCAGCCATGAGGAGGCACCAGGTAGGCAACCCTCTGTCATTCCAAAGGGAGTTACCAGTAGTCCCTGTTGGATTGATGGTTAAGGGGGAGAGAGAGGACCTCTGTCATCATTTTGTTCAGAAAGAATACAACAAAGTACAACAAAGTACTGGCATTAATTCCACAAGGCAGCAGAATGCACTTAAACTGATAGAAAATCTTATCTCTCTGTGTGGAGGTAGAACCAAGGGAGCTCAGTGCTGGACAGCAGGATGGGTTTGAGTGTTTCAGAAATATGGAATATTCTATGTCTTATTTTGTGCCCACATCATTAAACTTTACACTTCTCCTTGTGCATTCTTCCCTGCTGTCTTGCATTTATCCCATAACTCTGTCACACCTCCACATTTAGCATGATCTGCAGTTTTCAGGTTTTCACATTTTAATCATTCTCCCCATTTGTGTATGGATGTGAACTGAATGGGACACTCAGAGACCAGCAGGGAAAAGTGAACAACAGGAGATGAGGAAGAAGAGAAAGGGCATTGGAGACACTTTGCTGTCATAGTTTCACAAGCAATACTCTCACATTTCCCTCAGGGACTTCCTGGGCCTTCCCTCAGGGAATTCCTAATGCCAGGAGCTGTAGAGTCACTATCCCAGAGATATTCCAACCTGCCTGTGCTTGGTCCCGGACATCCTGCTCTGGCCAACCCCTGAGCAGAGGAGCTGGGCTCAGGGATGTGAAAAAGTCAATTCAAACCTAAACTACTCTGCTGGTGTGTGCTCAGGACAGCAGAGCTGATGTTCCCAGCGATCCTCTAGAACTTTCTTCTTTATTTTCTTATTGTGAATTCACATCAGATCTGTTACCTCCCAGTGCCCAAGTGGAAAGAGAGCTCTAAGAGTGGGATTAAAAACCAGCATTAACATTATCTGCCAGCAGGTATCCCTTGGGATGTGTTAGTACATCCATGTTGTATTTAGGCCATACCTTTTACAGTCCTTGTGGCTCCTCACAAGGAACTGCCTTGAACTGAAAGATCTGCCCAGTTCTGACTCAGTCAATCCTGTCACAAGGGATTGATTCATCTCATTCATTCTCTGCCATGACCTTCTCTGCTGAATGTTTCCTGCAGAGCCAACCATCCTGCCTGGATCCCATTCCCTCAGAGCAGCCCTTTTTAGCTCCTCTTTACTGAGCCCCCTCTCCTTCAGGCAGCTCCCTCTGTCACCCACCCACCCTCTGTGTGTCCTTCTGCAATCCAGGGCTTGGAGGACTCTCCTGCTTTTCCCCTCTCCTCAAAGCCATGGCAGGTTGGGATCTGTTCAGTTCCCTGAGCACAGGGCTCCAGAGCCAGTGGGGAAGCACCAGGACATTGAGCCTGGCTCCAGCCTGCCAACCTGGAATGCTCCAGAGTCCCAGTGGGAGCCTGAAAAGGCACCTTGGAATGCAGGAGAAAGGTGGATTATTCCAAGTGTTGCCATAATTTTTACTTGTTTCTGTCTCTCTCTAGGAAGAAGTTGTTGTTCCACAACACAAGTTGCTGTCCTGGTCACTGAGATAATCGTGCTCCTGCTCATTGTTGTGTGTCAGGTACTCCCATGTAAGTGCTATAAATGGAATAACAGCAATTAATTTGTGTCTCTTTGCCACTGACTGAGGTGCAGGCCATAGCATCCAAGGCCAGCAGGAACAGAAGTCTGCTTTGGAGGCGAAAGACAGCAGTTTTTAGCCAAGCATGGCTGTAAGAGGAAATGTGCAAGAGAATGGAGTGTTTTGACAGTTTAAAATTGCAAAACAAAAATAAAGAAAAAAAAACCCATTTAACTGAGTTCATAACATTTTTGAAGTTACATAAACTGATTAATGATACCTGGAAGAAAATGTATTCTTATCAACATCAGGAATAAAAAACAGATCCATTTGATACTTCCTCTGAATGATTTCAAGGTATCAATTTAAAATTTACAACATTCAAACACTGAAGAATTCATTATACAAATGTTTTGAGGAAACAAAATCAGATAATGCTACTGGCCATTTAATTGGGATATGTGAAAATATTTCAAGATTATGATAATTTATTATGACAGCATGATGTGACATCAAATATATTAAAAGAATTAAGACTAAAAGCTCATTTGAAAAAGACAGCAAACTTCAAAGTTACATCATAAAGGCAGTAGTTTTCACCCTATTCAGATAAAAACCTTTTGCTCTATCACTATCTGCACACCTTATTTATAACAACACATTATATTTTTTGAGAACGAAAACATCATCATCTCCATCTAGAAAAAAAAAAGACAAAACCAAAAACAGAGCCATGTGGTACTTCCTTTGAAAGTTTTAAAGGAATAATTTTTAAATTTTAGATGGTTTTCCTCATTACTTTTCATCCTTTGATAGTTGATCAAACTGGAGACACTCCCACAATCAGTCAGAGATTCTGACTAAATCATGCAAATTGAGTTTAGAAACTCAATGACACTAAGGGCCTCACACAAAAACTTCTGCATCAAGCACCTCTGATACCAAATTACACAAAGAATCTTGGGAGACCAAGGAAATGCTCCCAGTGCAGCTTCAATGGGAGAGAATGGCATCCAGTTCCCTTGGATCTGGGAGACGGGTTTCGAGCGTGAAAAAGCATATTTTTATTGATTTAATATTTGTAATCCTAAAATGTTTCACTACTGGAAACTCAGTTTAATTAATGCCATTTAATTTCATCAGACAGGATGAAAATGCAAAGTGTTGGCATCAGGGATCCCAGATCCCTTCTAGGTCACAGGGCAGTGCTCTTTAAATGCCATCCAGCTCTGATGGATGGTGCCTCTTCCTCACATCCAGACAGAATTTTGACTGCCAGAGCCCCCTCACTAACCCAGTTTGGCAGTTCTCCAGGAAATTCCCTCTTCCCAAGCCACTGTTCCTTGGGATGGAAGCTGCTCTCCTGGGCCTGGCTGAAACCCTGCCTGCCCATGGCAAGTGGGGAATGAATTCCCTGCTTTGCTTGGCTTGCATGCAGGGTTGCTCTTCTTCTATAAAACCAGCTACAATTTGGCATATTAAGCACCTTCTGCACTTCTTGAAACAGGCTGGATCCATCTCCATTTTCTGAATAATGGCCCTCCAGCTTTTCCCCTCTCCTCAAAGCCATGGCAGGTTGGGATCTGTTCAGTTCCCTGAGCACAGGGCTCCAGAGTCAGTGGGGAAGCACCAGGACACTGAGCCTGGCTGCAGCCTGCCAACCTGGAATGCTCCAGAGTCCCAGTGGGAGCCTGAAAAGGCACCTTGGAATGGAGGACAAAGGGGCTTCTGTCCAGCTCTTTCCCTGATCTTTATGTTTCTGTCCCTCTGTAGGTCAAAGCCATTGTTCCAGAACACAATTGTCTGTCCTGGTTGTTGTCCTGGTTCCCATTGTAGTGGCCCTCACCCTGTCTTGGACACTCCCATGTAAGTCCTGCTAGAAATGTAACACTGGCAATTGATTTGGGTCACTCTGCCACTGCCTGATGTCCAGGCCATGACATCCAAAGCCAGGAGGAATGGAAGTCTGGTGTAAAAGCCAAGGATGACAGTTTTTAGCTTCCCATGGCTGTAGGAGGTAATCTGCAAAAAGCCAAAGGGTTTGAAGGTTCAAAATTCCAAAAGAAAAAAATCTGTGACAAAAGGGAAAACAACAGTGATCAAACACTGAGAAACTTATGATGCAAATGTTTTGAAGAAACCAGTGAAGATCACATAATGCCTTTTGGTCTTATGATTGCAATCCTTTAGAATATTTCAAGTTATGATATTGTCTTATGGCATAGGGATGTGACACCAAAAATTTGACAATATTTTGAATTAAATCTCATTTCATAAAGGCATCAAAGTTGGAAATGAAAGGAATTTATTTACAGGTTATTTCAATGAAAACCTTGTGCTCAGTCTCTGCACTGAGTTCATAACATTTTTGAAGTTACATAAACTGATGAATGATATCTGGTGGAAGATGTATTCTTATCAACATCAGGAATAAAAAACAGATCCATTTGATACTTCCTCTGAATGATTTCAAGGTATCATTTTAAAATGTCATATTTCATTTCTTCTTTCCATCCTTTGGTAGCTGAGAAAGCTTGAGATGCTGCCACAACCAATCCCTCTCAAGTCCCAGAGTTTGCCCCCTGTTCCGAGATGCACATAGGAAAGACATGGCAAAGCTATTGACCCTTGGAACTCAATAAACAAGGCTTGCGGAGGCAACTCATTCTTCTTTTTCAGGGAAAAGAGTTCAGGATTTATATCTGACAGTGCTCTGATATTTATAAAAAGTCAAACATCAAAGGATGGGAAAAATCAAAACCAAATTCTAAACTAGCACAAAGTAATGAAGTGTAATTAGCATTTTGCATTTAGTCTAGCTTTAACATTGGAAGAGGAGTCATTAGACTTGGATCCAGGCCTGGCTTTAGTTATAGTTCTTTTGTGGATTCAGTACTGCCCTAGTGACCTGAATTATGTATATACTAAGAAGCTTGATATCTAGATGGAACTCAAGGAACAAAATCATTATTAAGATACAACTTGTGTAAATAAACTCTAGTGTTGCCTTTTCCTCAGTGGAACCTGACATGACCATGTTATGATTTTTGTAGTAGCCCCATGAGCAAAGAGGCAGAGTTTGCATTCTGTTGGGTGATGGGGGGTCAGAGAGGTCCAGCAGAGCTCTGACAGTGGCCTGGCACAGTGGCCACTCCTTGCAAGCAGAAATTGTGTTCTTTTTTCCAGATGGTCCCACTGCCAAAAGCCAAAGTAGATCAACAACAACCATCCCTGAAGAGGCACTAGGTAGGCAATTCTCTGTCAATCCTGAGGGAGTTTCCAGAGGTCTGTGGGATTGACTGTGCAGGGGGCAGGGGAGGGTGTGTGACTGGAATTTGTTGAGAAGGGAAACAAAGAAAAAACCTCTCCCATATCAGGAATACAAACCTGATCCTGGACAATCCCAGGATGAGCTTTGGAAGGCACAGGAAGAAGAATCCCTCGAGAAGCCCAGCACTGCAGGGAGCAGGATGGATCACGTGCCTCCCCTACTTTTCCAAGGCCCTCCTTTACCAGCCTTGAAATCAGTGCAATTCTCTGTGCCTGTTTAGGAGCTGCTGGGCAAAGATGGGCAAGGCTGGATCATGTTTGCTGTGCCAATGCTCCCTGTCTGGCTCCTGCCTGCTGATTCTGGGCTGCCATCAGCCCCAGAGGCTCTGGGGGATCCCTGGTGCTCTGCTGACAATTCTCAGCAGGAGCACACAGGCATTTCTGAGGGCTGGAAAGGCCTCTCTGACCTCTCCATTGTTGTGGCATCCTTTGGTCAGTGTCAACAGGGATTTTACACACCTCTTCTTCCTTTCTGCAGGCTGCCCCCCACCATGGAAGAAACATGGCAGAAAATGCTACTTATTTTTTCCAGAGACGGAAGCAATGGACTGGAATGCTTTCCGTGCAGAATGCACCGCCATGGGCTCAGACCTGGTGGTCATTGAAAGCAGGGAAGAGCTGGTGAGATCCAACTCCTGGGGCAGCTGCTTGGGGGGCTGGAGCTGCCTGGCCAAGGGCTCAGCAGTGACACTTGTGCCAGCTCCTGTCCCATGGCCTTGGGCTCTGGGACCTGCTGCCAGCCATGCACAGCCCAGGCCTGGCAGTGGCAGCAAAGGCCTGCACAGGGAGAGGCCTCCTGGGCCTCGCCGTCGTGTTCCTGGAGGCTTCTGTGCCCAGGCCTGATGCCATGGCAAGGAGCAAAGTCCCTGCCCGGCTGGCTGGGCCTTTCCAGGGATTTAGCACACAGGCCATGGAGCTTGAGCAGACACTTATTCTGTCCCAGAGCCATGGCTGGGACAAAGCCTGAAAAGGCTTTGCCACCCCCATCCAAAGGGAAAAGTTTCCACAGCTATCAATTCACACGTGTCTGACAGCAATGTACAGATCTAATGAAACAGCAGGTGTATTATTACATTTATTATCTTCATCAGAGGCTACAAAAGGGAGATGATCTTATATGGAATGGAGAAATTAATCCTGTGGAGCACTAGGCAGAGGTGCTGTGACTGGATGCAAACTGCACTCTTTGTGCTGCCTGTTTAGCCCTGAGCCTTCTGGGCCTATGCTCAAGAAAATGTCATTTTCATGTGTTCCCATTGTTGGCTTCCTTTCCAGAGGTACCTGATCTCACAATCAAGCCGTAACTACTACTTACTTGGTCTGACACGCTCTCCAGAGGAGCAGAAGTGGAAGTGGATCAACAACGTGGAACATGACCCAGCCATGTGAGCTCCTCCCAGCAAGTCCCTGCCATGCAGTGTCTGGGAAGAGGAAAATGCCAAAGGCAGAGCAAAGAGCAGAGAGCCCAAGGGAGATCAGGGACTGTGCTGTGGGGGAAGCTGATTGCTGGAGGTGCAGCTGCTTCAGCACAAGCCTGGGCCAAGGAAAGGGAGCCTTGCAGGGCCAGGGAACACAGGGCTGTCCTGTAGGGATGGCAGGAGAGGACACAGCTGGAGTTCTGCTGGGGAAGGAAGGATCTGGCTGGATGCAGCTCCCTGGGGAAAAGAAGGACACAGGAGGCAGGGACAAGAGAGAGAGGAGGATGTCAGCACAATTGGCTGGAGGGGACCAAAGCAGGGAAATGTTTCTGGATGGGAAAGCATTGTCCTGAACCTTTTGTGGAGATGTGGGGAACAACAGTGAGGAATGGGAGGCGGATTCCAGCAAGGCAGTTCCTGATCTCTATGGCAATAAACAGCTTAGCAGCCAGGCCAGGTGCCACTCTGCCTTTCACTGCATGTCAGGAATGGAACCAAATTTGACTTTTTTCTCCTCATCAGGTTCCGTATATTAGGACCTTACCGTGGCTATCACTGCACAGTCATTGGATTTGGTGAAGTACAAGCTGCACCTTGTGGTCGAACCCGAACAACACAAAATATGTGTGAAAAAGCTGCAACAATTTCCAACAGGCATCTGTAGGAGAGCTAAAACCATCATGTGCAGGCTGATCTGTTCTGCCCAGCTTCCTGTAGGAACCATGGATGGGATGTGTCCCATTTCCCTTGAGCTGCCCAGTCTCTGCTCCCAGGCTCTCCTGCAGCCTCTCTCCAGCCTCGGGGCTGAGCTCAGCCCAGCCTTTCCCTGCTGCTGCCTGAGCCTGGATGGATCCCCTCTGGAAGAGCTGGCCCTGGCACACAGGAGCACTCTGGCACTGTCTCATGCCAGAGGTGGCACTGCCAGGCAGGCACTGCCAGGGGACAGGAGTCCAGCCTGGGCACAGGGGTAATCCCAAACACATCCTGACTCATCTGCAAGTCCCATCCATCCCCACCCTGTGTTCGCACCCCTGCCTGGGCACAAGGAGAGCCTTCCCCACCTGGCCACAGCCTGGCCTTGCCTGCAGCCACAAGGGAAGGGCAGCACAGGTTTCTGCCTGGGATCCTGCAGGGAAGGCCAACCCCACTCCTCGCCAGGATGGACAGGATAAAGTCAAGTGTGGGTGTGGATATTCCTTCCCCTGTCCCAGACTGTTCCAAGAGCACACAGGATCCCAGAGCCTGGGAGGGGAATGGGAATCAGCCCAAGGGAAAGGACCCTACAGCAGCACAGCTCTGGGCATAAAATCAGCCCCAGTCCTGTGTGGGGAATGGAAGGAATGTCAGATCTCAGATCTGCTGGGGAAGGGCACAGGAGGGAGACAAGCAGAGAGCAGCAAGGCCTGAAGAACAGAGTCCCAACAGAAGCTGAGCTGGACAGAGAACAATGAAACCCAGAGTGACCTGTGAAGGAGCTGGTAAGAAGCATGAGAGTGACCCTCAGGGAATGGCAACACAGTGGTCTGCCCTCTTTTCCTTGGAGATTGGTCACAGGACAGGGCAGCTCTTGGATGTGCTCTGGGTCCCCCTAGAGAGCTCCCCTCAGGTGCCTGGGCTGACTGCTGGGCCCCTGTACAGTTCCTCTCCCCTCCATTGCATGGAATAAAACTTTTCTTTTCAAAACACAAAGCAGTGCTTGTGTGTGTGTGGGTGAAGCTTTGGGAACTCCAGACACTTCCAATCCAGAACCACTTCCCAACACAGGAGACCTCAGGGAAACCATGAATTGTGGTGTTGTGAGGTTCCCAGGATGAGGTGAGGGATGACAATTTGACTCCATGTTCTCACAAGACTGATTTAGTATTTTATGATATTTTAATATATTATTTTAAAAGAAATTATATACTAAAACTTTACTAAAGAAAGAGAAGGGAGACTTCAGAAGGCTTCACAAGTATGATAATGAAAGCTCATGACTGACTCCTCAGAGTCTGACTCAGCTGATGGGGATTGGTTATTTTTTGAGAACAATTCATATAGAACCAATCAATGATGTACCTGTTGGAAGATGACCTTCAGACCACATTTCCAGACAATCAGATAATTCTTGTTTTCATTCTTTTCTGAGGCTTCTCAGATTCCCAGAAGAAGAAATCCTGGGGAAGGGATTTTTCAGAAAACATCATGGAGACAATGAACTTGTATTTCCTCATGTTGCTGACATAAAACCATGAGCCTTCAAAAATGAAGTAGAAATAGACTTCTCTTTTCATTAGAAGTTTCTAAATGACCGGAAGGGTCAAGAACTTCCTGCTGAAGGTTGGAGAGGGGAGGGAGCTCTGAGTCATGCCCAGCCCAGAGTGTCACTGTCACAGCAGCCGAGGCAGGAGAGAGCAGAGTGGAACCAGAATGGCAGAAAATGTCATTGACTCTGACCTGAACTTGCCTGAACAACCCAGAGCGAGGCTACACACCATCCCTGATGGCCAAGGTAGGTCCAGTGCTGGGCACTGAGCTTTCTTTGCATTCTCCACTCTCTCTCCCACATCTTTTGAGAGAGTTCCTTGCAGCACCAAAGCCCCAAAGAGCCCAAGGGAAACATGAGGGCCAGGGCTGGAAAACTGCAGGTTGAGTGTCCAGAGAGGGTTGTTGATATTTACAAAGGCAGGTTGTTGGGAGATCTACTTTTCTCTTGCTAAGGTGCAGGTGTCAGGCAGTGTCTCTGGGGTGAGATTGAGAGTCCTTTTTATCCATTTTGGAGAGCATTCCAGAGCTGAACATCCATTGCTGCTGGCCCTGGCCTGTTGTCCCCCAGCAGACTGAGATTGCTGCAGCAAACTGCTCAGGATGGAGTGGCTGCTGTTGCTGGTGCTCACAGCAGTCTCCTGCACAGCTGCTCCTGCTCCCTGAGCACAGCAGGCACTGCCTGGCGGCTCCTCCTCCTGCTCTGGCTGTATCAACTGCTTGTTGAATGCACCAGTGTGAAAAAATGTTTCATGGACAGCTTTAGTCTGATTTGGGATCAAACACTTTGCAAAATTCTAACCAAGGATTTATCTTTCTTTAATGAGTTTTAAATGGTTGCATAAATGTTTGCATTGGTTTTGCAATGTCTGCCATAGAAGTACATCCTAAAAATTAACAGACTTCATACAGTGTGTCTCTGTATTTAATCTTAATTTTTCTTCCCCTTTTTTTCTAACCCTGCTTTCACTCTTGCAGAAATTATTTCTTGCCATCCAATACATTTTCTTTTGCACAGTGTTAACCCTCTGCATGTCTTTTCAGATGCGTGGAGTTATTAATGCCCCAGGAAATTGGGTGTTACCACCGCTTTTGACCAATGCATTCTCAGCTAACTTAACAGGGAACCACAATTGATGTTACCAGATTAAAAGGTTCATTTTCATCAAAATTTCAAGTTTTTACACATTTTCAATAATATTTTATTGTTTCTCTTCTTCTCTGTTTCTGGCAAACGCCTTCCAACTCTTTTCTTATTTTGTCCACAAGTGATTCCAGGTACTGATCTCTGGCTTTCAGCAGAGAGCTGCTTTGTGCCTGGATCCCATTCTCTCAGAGCAGCCCTTTTAAGCTCCTCTTTACTGAGCCCCTCTCCTTCAGGCAGCTCCCTCTGTCACCCACCCACCCTCTCTGTGTCCTTCTGCAATCCAGGGCTTGGAGGACTCTCCTGCTTTTCCCCTCTCCTCAAAGCCATGGCAGGTTGGGATCTGTTCAGTTCCCTGAGCACAGGGCTCCAGAGCCAGTGGGGAAGCACCAGGACATTGAGCCTGGCTCCAGCCTGCCAACCTGGAATGCTCCAGAGTCCCAGTGGGAGCCTGAAAAGGCACCTTGGAATGCAGGGCAAAGGGGCTCTGTGCAGCTGCTCCCCACACCTGGATGTTTCTGCCCCTCTGTAGGTCAGAGCCATTGTCCCAGAACACGAGCTGCTGCTCTGCTCGCTGTCCTGCTTGTGATCATCCTCCTGCTGGCCATAGCCCTGTATCTGACACTCACCACGGGTAAGTCCTGCTGGAAATGGAACACTGGCACGTAAATGGTGTCTGTCTGCTACTGACTGGTGTCCAGGCCATGGCATCCAAAGCCAGGAGGAATGGAAGTCTGCTGTGAAGGCAAAGGACAGCAGTTTTCAGCCACTCATGGCTGTGAGAGGAAATCTGTAAAAGAAATGCCAGGTGCTTTGAAAGTTTTAAAATCCAGGAGATAAAATGCCAGAACCAATTGAGAAGTGACAAGGTGCAAACACTTCACAATTCATGATAGAAAAGCTTTTGAAGAAACAAGTAAAGATCAGATAGTGCATGACCTTGATCAGATTGCAATCCTTGAGAATATTTTGAGATGACGATATTGCATCATGGCACCCAGGTGTGACACCAAAACTCTTAATATAATGAGGAATAAATGCTCCTTTGAGAGAGACAGCAAAGTTACACCTTCAAGGAATTTTTGTCGCCTCACTGAAATAAAAGCCTTGTGCTCAGGGTCTGCAGAGATATCACCAAGCTTATACCAATGTCTGAGCTACTGAGAAAGACACATTAATTCCATAGAAAGAAAATACTATCATATCCAGGGAAAAATTAATAATAATTAGGGTCATATGGTACTTTGCAAGTTTTCAAGGATTTAACTGTCAGATATTTCTCATTGTCTCTTTCCATCTTTTGATAATTACATAAGTCTGAAGGGTTTCCACAGCCAATCACACTCAAGTCTCAGAGTCTCCCAACGACTCAGAGCTACCCATGGTGAAAAAATTGCAAAGCCTTTAGTGTATTTGGTGTAAAGCATAGGCTTGGGTGGGGTGATTGCTTTTTGGTTTCCAATGCAAAGAGTTCAGGGCACCTATGTAAAAGTGCTTTGATATGTATAAAATGTTCAATATCAGAGCAAGGACAAATTAAAAAGAAATAATAAACCAAGACAACAGAAGGAGGTGAAATTGGCTGCATTTAATGGAGCACAAAATCTGGACCTGCTGTGGTTTTTCTCTCATTGCTGTGGCTCCCTGTGTGCTGTGCCTCACATCCACCTCTGCTCTGGGAAGGGCTGGAGCAGTTCTGGGTCAGTTCTGGGCTTTGGCCCTTGGGAAGGGAACACCTTGGTGTGTGCTGCAGCTTTGAGGGTTGTTTGCCAGGAGTGAGCAAAGCGGCAGAGCTGGCATTTTGTGTTGTGTGATGGGGCAGCCAAAGAGGCCCAGCAGGGCTCTGACAGTGCCTGGCACAGTGGTCCTTCATTGCAATTACAATTGTATTCTCATTTCTGCATGGTCCAACTGCAGGCAGCCAACAGGACTCAACAGCATTGACCTCCAGCAGCCAAAATGTCTCAGCACCATTGTCCCCCAGCAGCCAAGAGGAATCAACAGAGTTACCCCCCAGCCATGAGGAGGCACCAGGTAGGCAACCCTCTGTCATTCCAAAGGGAGTGTCCAGTAGTCCCTGTTGGATTGATGGTTAAGGGGGAGAGAGAGGACCTCTGTCATCATTTTGTTCAGAAAGAATACAACAAAGTACAACAAAGTACTGGCATTAATTCCACAAGGCAGCAGAATGCACTTAAACTGATAGAAAATCTTATCTCTCTGTGTGGAGGTAGAACCAAGGGAGCTCAGTGCTGGACAGCAGGATGGGTTTGAGTGTTTCAGAAATATGGAATATTCTATGTCTTATTTTGTGCCCACATCATTAAACTTTACACTTCTCCATGTGCATTCTTCCCTGCTGTCTTGCATTTATCCCATAACTCTGTCACACCTCCACATTTAGCATGATCTGCAGTTTTCAGGTTTTCACATTTTAATCATTCTCCCCATTTGTGTATGGATGTGAACTGAATGGGACACTCAGAGACCAGCAGGGAAAAGTGAACAACAGGAGATGAAGAAGAAGACAAAGGGCATTGGAGACACTTTGCTGTCATAGTTTCACAAGCAATACTCTCACATTTCCCTCAGGGACTTCCTGGGCCTTCCCTCAGGGAATTCCTAATGCCAGGAGCTGTAGAGTTACTATCCCAGAGATATTCCAACCTGCCTGTGCTTGGTCCCGGACATCCTGCTCTGGCCAACCCCTGAGAAGGGGAACTGGGCTCAGGGATGTGAAAAGGTCAATTCTGTCCTAAACCACTCTGCTGGTGTGTGCTCAGGACAGCAGAGCTGATGTTCCCAGAGATCCTCTAGAACTTTCTTCTTTATTTTCTTATTGTGAATTCACATCAGATGTGTTACCTCCCAGTGCCCAAGTGGAAAGAGAGTTCTAAGAGTGGGGTTAAAAACCAGCAGTAGCATTAGCTGCCAGCAGTATCCCTTGGGATGTGTTAGTACATCCCTGTTGTATTTAGGCCATACCTTTTACAGTCCTTGTGGCTCCTCACAAGGAACTGCCTTGAACTGAAAGATCTGCCCAGTTCTGACTCAGTCAATCCTGTCACAAGGGATTGATTCATCTTCTCTGCCATGACCTTCTCTGCTGAATGTTTCCTGCAGAGCCAACCATCCTGCCTGGATCACATTCCCTCTGAGCAGCCCTTTTTAGCTCCTCTTTACTGAGCCTCCTCTCCTCCAGGCAGCTCCTACCTCTGTCACCCACCCACCCTCTGTGTGTCCTTCTGCAATCCAGGGCTTGGAGGACTCTCCTGCTTTTCCCCTCTCCTCAAAGCCATGGCAGGTTGGGATCTGTTAATTTCCCTGGGCACAGGGCTCCAGAGCCTGTGGGGAAGCACCAGGACATTGAGCCTGGCTCCAGCCTGCCAACCTGGAATGCTCCAGAGTCCCAGTGGGAGCCTGAAAAGCCACCTTGGAAAGCAGGAGAAAGGTGGATTATTCCAAGTGTTGCCATAATTTTTACTTGTTTCTGTCACTCTCTAGGAAGAAGTTGTTGTTCCACAACACGAGTTGCTGTCCTGGTCACTGAGATAATCGTGCTCCTGCTCCTTGTTGTGTGTCAGGTACTCCCATGTAAGTGCTATAAATGGAATAACAGCAATTAATTTGTGTCTGTCTGCCACTGACTGAGGTGCAGGCCATGACATCCAAGGCCAGCAGGAACAGAAGTCTGCTTTGGAGGCAAAAGACAGCAGGTTTTTGCCAAGCATGGCTGTAGGAGGAATTGTGCAAGAGAATAGAGTGTTTTGACAGTTTCAAATTGCAAAGCAAAAGTAAAGAAAAAAAAAAAGAAGGGAAAACTGACAATGTTGAAACACTGAGGAATTTATTATGCAAATGCTTTCAGGAAACAAAATAAGATAATGCCTGTTGGCATGTTAATGAGCATAGGTGAGACTATATCAAGGCGATGATAATTTATTGTGGCATTAAGATGTGACGCCAAAAATCTTTAAAAAATTTAGAATAAAATTTCATTTGAAAAAGACAGCAAAGTTCAAAGTTACATCTTAAAGGCAGTTGTTTTCTCCTTATTCAAATAAAAGCCTTCTGCTCAATTTCTACATGCATACCCAATTTATAACAACACATTATATTTTAGAGAAAGAAAACATCGTATTTTCCATCCAGAAAAAAAAAATCAGATCCATGTGGAACTTCCTTTGAAAGTTTTCAAGGAATCATGTTTAAATTTGAGATGGTTTTCCTCATTACTTTCCACCCTTTGATAGTTGAGCAAACTGGAGACACTCCCACAATCAGTCACAGATTCTGACTAAATCATGCAAATTAAGTTTAGAAACTCAATGACACCAAGGGCCTCACACAAAAACCTCCGCATGAAGCAACTCTGATAGCAAATTACACAAAGAATCTTGGGAGACCAAGGAAATGTTCCCAGTGCAGCTTCTTTGGGAGAGAATGGCAGCCAGTTCCCTTGGATCTGGGAGACAGGTTTGGAGCATGAATAAGGATATTTGTTATTGAATTAATTTTTATAAGTCTAAATTGTTTCAGTGCTGGAAAGCTCAGTTTAATTAATGCCATTTAATTTCATCAGATAGGATGAAAATGCAAAGGGTTGGCATCAGGGATCCCAGATCCCTTCTAGGTCACAGGGCAGTGCTCTTTAAATGCCATCCAGCTCTGATGGATGGTGCCTCTGACTCACATCCAGACAAAATTCTGACTGCCAGAGCCCCCTCACTAACCCAGTTTGGCAGTTCTCCAGGAAATTCCCTCTTCCCAAGCCACTGTTCCTTGGGATGGAAGCTGCTCTCCTGGGCCTGGCGGAAACCCTGCCTGCCCATGGCAAGTGGGAAATGAATTCCCTGCTTTGCTGTGCACACATGCAGGGTTGCTCTTCTTCTATAAAACCAGCTACAATTTGGCATATTAAGCACCTTCTGCACTTCTTGAAACAGGCTGGATCCATCTCCCTTTCCTGAATGATGGCCCTCCAGCTTTTCCCCTCTCCTCAAAGCCATGGCAGGTTGGGATCTGTTCAGTTCCCTGAGCACAGGGCTCCAGAGGCAGTGGGGAAGCACCAGAACACTGAGCCTGGCTGCAGCCTGCTGATCTGGAAGGCTCCAGAGTCCCAGTGGGAGCCTGAAAAGGCACCTTGGAATGGAGGGCAAAGGGGCTTCTGTCCAGCTCTTTCCCTGATCTTTATGTTTCCATCCCTCTCTAGGTCAAAGCCATTGTTCCAGAACACAAGTGTCTGTCCTGGTTGTTGTCCTGGTTCCCATTGTAGTGGCCCTCACCCTGTCTTGGACACTCCCATGTAAGTCCTGCTAGAAATGTAACACTGGCAATTAATTTGTGTGTCTCTGCCACTGCCTGATGTCCAGGCCATGACATCCAAAGCCAGGAGGAATGGAAGTCTGGTGTGAAGGCCAAGGATGACAGTTTTTAGCTTCCCATGGCTGTAGGAGGACATCTGCAAAAAGCAAAGATGTTTGAAGGTTCAAAATTCCAAAAGAAAAAAATCAGCAACAAAAGAGAAAACAACAATGTTCAGACACTGAGGAATTTATGATACAAATGTTTTGAAGAAACCAGTAAATCTCAAATAATGCCTACTGGTCTTATGATTGCAGTCCTTGAGAATATTTCAAGGTGATGATGTTGTCTTATGACATAGGTATGTGACACCAAAAATTTGACAATATTTTGAATTAAAACTCATTTCATAAAGGCATCAAAATTGGAAATGAAAAGAATTTATTTGCAGCTTATTTCAATTAAAACCTTGTGCTCAGTCTCTTCACTGAGTTCATAAAAATTTATAACTAACATAAACTGATGAATGATATCTGGTGGAAGATGTATTCTTATCAACACCAGGAAAAAAACCCAGATCCATTAGATACTTCCTCTGAAAGTTTTCAAGGAATCATTTTTAAATTTCAGATGTCATTTTTTCTTTCCCTCCTTTGGTAGCTGAGAAAGCTTGAGAAGCTGCTACAACCAATCATTCTCAAGTCCCACAGTTTGCCACCTGCTCAGAGATGCACATGGGGAAGACATGGCAAAGCTTTTGATCCATGGAACTTAAAAAATAGGGCTGGGGGAGGCAAGTCATTCTTCTTTTTTAAAGCAAAGAGATTGGTATCTGAGAGTGGTATGACATTTATAAAATGTCTAACAACCAAGAATGGGAAAAATTAAAGAAATTCAAAGCAGCACAAAGTAACAAAGTGTAATTATCACTTACTGCAGCTTTAGCATTGAAAGAGGAGTCATTAGACTTGGATCCAGGTCTGGCTTTAGTTATAGTTCTTTTGTGGGTTCAGTAATGACTTGGTGATCTGAAATTTGTATACACTAAGAAACTTGACATCTAGATGGAACTCAAGGAACAAAATCATAATTCAGATACAACTTGTGTAAATGAACTCAAGTGTTGCCTTTTACTCAACATGGCTATTTTATGAGTTGTGTTGTAGACCCATGAGCAAAGAGGCAGAGTTTGCATTCTGTGTTGGGTGATGGGGGGTCAGAGAGGTCCAGCAGAGCTCTGACAGTGCCTGGCACAGTGGTCATTCCTTGCAAGCAGAAACTGTGTTCTTATTTCCAGATGGTCCAACTGCAGGCAGCCAAAAGGGCTTAACAACATTGTCCTCCACCACTCAAGAGGACACAACAACATTGTCCCACATCCCTGAAAGGAGACCAGGTAGGCAATCCTCTGTCTTTCCAAAGGGAGTCGCCTGAAGTCTGTTGGGTTGATGGTTAAGGGGGACAGAAAAGGAACTCTGTCAGGATTTTGTTCAGAAGGAACACAAACAACCCCTCTGCCATGTCAGGAGTACAAACCTCCCCCTGGGACACTCCCAGGATGAGCTCTGGAGCCCATGGAGGGTTTGCATTTGCAGCTCATTTGGAAGCAGTGCAGGCTCAGCTCTGCATTCCTGTTCCCCAGGGAAGAGCTGATGCCCCTGTGCTGCCAGAGCAGAGCAGTGGGAGGCAGGGAAGGCACAGGAGGAACAATCCCTCAGGTCCACAGCCCCGCAGGGAGCAGGATGGACAATGTGCCTGTGCTGCTTTCCCAAGGCCCCTCGACTGCCAGCCTGTGACCTCAGTGCAATTCCAGGCTGCCCTTCAGGAGCTGCTGGATCCCCAACCAAAGTGTCTCCTGCAGGCCCTGTCTCCCTGAATCCCATCCCCTTTCCAGCTGCCCCTCCCTGCTCCTCCTGCTGCCCTGCCTGGCAATGCACACAAATATTGGTGCTGCCAGTGGCACCTGTGCTGCCCAATTCTGCATCAGGCAGACCAGACTGTGGGGATGTGGGAGCTGCTTTGTGCCCTGAGCATTTCTCTGTATGCCCGGAGCAAAGCTGGGCAAGGCTGGATCATGTTTGCTGTGCTGCTGCTCCCTGTCTGGCTCCTGCCTGCTGATTCTGGGCTGCGATCAGCCCCAGAGGCTCTGGGGGATCCCTGGTGCACTGCTGACAATTCTCAGCAGGAGCACACAGGCATTTCTGAGGGCTGGAAAGGCCTCTCTGTCCTCTCCATTGTTGTGGTATCCTTTGGTCAGTGTCAACATGGATTTTACACACCTCTTCTTCCTTTCTGCAGGCTGCCCCATAGCATGGAAGAAACATGGCAGAAAATGCTACTTCTTTTTTCCAGAGAGGGAAGCAATGGACTGGAATGCCTCCCGTGCAGAATGCACTGCCATGGGCTCAGACCTGGTGGTCATTGACAGCAGGGAAGAGCTGGTGAGATCCAACTCCTGGGGCAGCTGCTTGGGGGGCTGGAGCTGCCTGGCCAAGGGCTCAGCAGTGACACTTGTGCCAGCTCCTGTCCCATGGCCTTGGGCTCTGGGACCTGCTGCCAGCCATGCACAGCCCAGGCCTGGCAGTGGCAGCAAAGGCCTGCACAGGGAGAGGCCTCCTGGGCCTTGCAGTCCTGTCCCTGGAAGCTCCTGTGCCCAGGCCTGGTCCCATGGCAAGGAGCAAAGTCCCTGCCCAGCTGGCTGGGCTTTTCCAGGGATTTAGAACACACGCCATGGAGCTTGAGCAGACACTTCTTTGGGAGAGCCATGGCTGGAACAAAGCCTGAAAAGGCTTTGCCACCTCCATCCAAAAGGAAAAGTGTCCCCAGCTATCAAGTCACACCTGTTAAGCACCAAATTACACCTGTAATGGCACCACAGGTGTATCCTTAAATCTGTTATATTCATAAGGGGTCTCCAAAAGGGAGAAATTCATCCTCTGGAGCTGTGGGCAGAGGTGCTGTGGCTGGATGCCCACTGCACTCTCTGTGCTGCCTGTTTAGCCCTGAGCCTTCTGGGCCTATGCTCAAGAAAATGTCATTTTCATGTGTTCCCATTGTTGGTTTCCTTTCCAGAGGTACTTGCTCTCACAATCAAGATATAAATACTACTTCCTTGGTCTCACACGCTCTCCAGAGGAGCAGAAGTGGAAGTGGATCAACAACGTGGAACATGACCCAGCCATGTGAGCTCCTTCCAGCAAGTCCCTGCCATGCAGTGTCTGGGAGGAGGAGAATGCCAAAGGCAGAGCAAAGAGCAGAGAGCCCAAGGGAGATCAGGGACTGTGCTGTGGGGGAAGCTGATTGCTGGAGATGCAGGGGCTTCAGCACAAGCCTGGGCCAAGGAAAGGGAGCCTTGCAGGGCCAGGGAACACAGGGCTGTCCTGTAGGGATGGCAGGAGAGGACACAGCTGGAGTTCTAGTGGGGAAGGAAGGATCTGGCTGGATTCAGTTCCCTGGGGAAAGGAAGGGAACAGGAGGCAGGGACAAGAGAGAGAGGGGGATGTCAGCACCATTGGCTGGAAGAGACCAAAGCAGGGGAATGTTTCTGGATGGGAAAGCATTGCCCAGAAACTTTTGTGGAGATGTGGGGAACAAAAGTGAGGAATGGGAGGGGGATTCCAGCAAGGCAGTTCCTGATCTCTGTGGCAATAAACAGCTTAGCAGCCAGGCCAGGTGCCACTCTGCCTTTCACTGCATGTCAGGAATGGAACCAAATTTGACTTTTTTTCCCTATTCAGGTTCCGTATATTAGAACTTTACCGTGACTTGCACTGCACTGTGATTGGACGTGGTGAAGTACAAACTGCACCTTGTCGTGGAACCCGAGCAACACAAAATATGTGTGAAAAACCTGCAACAATTTCCAACAGGCATCTGTAGGAGAGCTAAAACCATCATGTGCAGGCTGATCTGTTCTGCCCAGCTTCCTGTAGGAACCATGGATGGGATGTGTCCCATTTCCCTTGAGCTGCCCAGTCTCTGCTCCCAGGCTCTCCTGCAGCCTCTCTCCAGCCTCGGGGCTCAGCTCAGCCCAGCCTTTCCCTGCTGCTGCCTGAGCCTGGATGGATCCCCTCTGGAAGAGCTGGCCCTGGCACACAGGAGCACTCTGGCACTGTTTCATGCCAGAGGTGGCACTGCCAGGCAGGCACTGCCAGGGGAGAGGAGTCCAGCCTGGGCACAGGGGTGAATCCCAAACACATCCTGACTCATCTGCAAGTCCCATCCATCCCCAGCCCTGTGTTCCCAGCCCTGCCTGGGCACAAGGAGAGCCTTCCCCACCTGGCCACAGCCTGGCCTTGCCTGCAGCCACAAGGGAAGGGCAGCACAGGTTTCTGCCTGGGATCCTGCAGGGAAGGCCATCCCCACTCCTAGCCAGGATGGACATGAGAAAGTCAGGTGGGGGTGTGGATAAACCTTCCCCTGTCCCAGACTGTTCCAAGAGCACACAGGATCCCAGAGCATGTGAGGGAAATGGGAATCAGCCCAAGGGAAAGGATGCTACAGCAGCACAGCTCTGGGCATAAAATCAGCCCCAGTCCTGTGTGGGGAATGGAAGGAATGTCAGATTTAGGATCTGCTGGGGAAGGGCACAGGATGGAGACCAGCAGAGCCCAGCAAGGCCTGGAGAACAGAGTCCCAACAGAAGCTGAGCTGGACAGAAAACAGAACAATGAAACCCAGAGTGATCTGTGAAGGAGCTGGCCAGAAGCATGAGAGTGACCCACAGGGAATGGCAGCACAGTGCTCTGGCCTCTTTTCCTTGGAGATGGGTCACAGGTGGAAATGATGCCTGAAGGCTTTCCTGCTCAGAAATGTTCAAGCCAACAGCAGAAACAGGTGACACCAGGAAAACAGAGCTGTGATCATGAAAGAGGGAATATCACCTAAACTCTGCCGCTGTTCTTCAGTGACTCCTGGGACCCTGGGCCTTGTGTGACTCCAAGAATATTTCTTCTTGCTGTGTCCTTTAGGCAGAATAATTCCTCCTTTATTGGTGCCTTTCATGGCTCTCTCCTTTAGCTGCAGGGTGGAGAAAGCTCTGTGCTGCCTGTGAAATCTGTGAAACTCATAGCCTGGTTTACCAGTGGGAAAAAAATTGTTCAGTCAAAAAAATCTATATACCGTATGCTGTGACCATTGGAAGGGAAAATGGAATCCTACAGGTAAAACTGTCTCTTTCTAAATTAAAAGCACATTGTGATGTCCCTCACACCAGCCATCCTCCTCACTCACGTCTTGCATCAAATGCTTTGGAAATGTATTTGCACTTCTTTCCCTGACTTTCCATTCCCAGAGAACAGAGTAAGAACATGGAGCTGTAGCAGAACAATTCCAGTGTCAGACCCCAGGATCTGTACTTCTATTCCAGAAGGAAGCTGAGTTGGAAGGGCTCTTTGCTTGCACTCATTTTCCTGGAGAGGGTGGGAGAGCATTCTATGTTGTGTTATAGATTTTTGCCTTCTATTTTCATATTCCAGCTGCTGTGATCACTTGGATCAAGTGGGCTCTCCTGGAGGCAGGGCCAGGGAAAAGCCTCTTCCCTGGGAGCCACTGGCCCTCAGTTGGAGCCTTCAGCAGGCAGCAGAGGCAGCAGCTGTGCACCAGAGGGGTGGGAAGGGCAACCCACCCTGGGGCCACTGTGGAACTGCACAAACCCCATCAAATCCAGAAAGCCACAGGAAGTCTCAGGACTCAGAAGCAACTACAGCTTGCAAAGAAATCCCTACCAAGGGCAGAAGTTTAAATGAAAGTGCTTTGTTTCCTCTGCCTGTGTGTTGTTCTTGTTCACAATTCGCTGATCTTGTGAGCTAAGTTTTACAATAAACTTCCACTTTACAGCTTGTGATTCTTGGATTACCTCTGGCATCCCTACTGCAAGGGAAGGGTGAAACATTTCCTCCTCACTCTGGTGTGGTCAGGGTCTAATCCTGATGCCAAGGCCAAGCAATCCCTAAGCAATTCCAGTGTGACCTCTTGCTCCTTCCGTGCTCAGTGCCTCAGGGAATGCCAGGCTGGTTCAATTCCTGCTGCAGCTGGGCAATGGGTGACACTCCCTGGGACAGGCCAGGCTGGCAGCACAGCCCCAGAGGGGCACATCCTGGACCCAGGACTGGCTCTTTTAGTGACCTTTATCAAGGAGAACCTGTGACAGGGACATCTCCAAGAGCTGCTCCTCAAAGCTCATCCTACTTCTATGGACCTGTATCCCAACTGTGTCTCAAGCCAGCTGTGGTGTTTAGGATACACTTGGTGGAAAAAATGCTCTGAGTATCTTGGCAAAAATCACAACCAAGGGATTTTGATTTTATTGTAGGAGAAAACAGCGAAAGAAGGCAAGGTTCTTAAAAGAATCCACTCCAAACCATTGAAAAGCCCAGAAGCTGTTGCATAGAAGTAACTAAGCAGAGACAGACACGAGCAGACATCTCAGAGACGAGTGATACTTTATGTAAACAAAAGAAGTTCATGCAGTATTGCACATGCAAACAATTTTATCTGGTTCTAAATGACAACTGTACCAACACAAGAAATGGCTCTCACTGCCAAATGGGCAGTTCAGGGAGGATGCACTGCCAATGCAGACTTGGTGTCAGAGCAGCAAGCAGGGTTTAGGGCACACAAAGAACACCCTAAAGATAGCACTGACAGTGTTACAGAGCTTGCAGCAATCACTGGCAGATTGGGTTCCTTTTTAGCACACACTGGACTTTCTGGAACCATTTTGGGTTTGTGGCTGCAAAGGCTTCAAATGGGGAATGACTTTTCAAGGTGCGGTGTGATGTTCGCTCTGTGGTGGGTCACAAATTATCTATAAAGGAATTCTGTTCTTTCTTGGGAAGTGGCCCATGGGAATCTCAATGGGGTTTAACAGCACCAAGTGCTGGTGCTGCACCTGGGTCTGGGCAGCCCCTGGGATCAATCCAGGCTGGGGATGAGCAGAGGGAGCAGCCCTGGCAGAAGGACTTGGGGCTGCTGTGGGTGAGAGCTGGCCCTGCCTCAACCCAGAGCCCCCCTGTGCTGGGCTGCACCCAGAGCCCCAGGGCAGCAGGGCAGGGGGGATTCTGCCCCTCTGCCCCTCTCTGCTGAGTCCCCCTGCAGGGCTGCATCCAGCCCTGGGCCCAGCACAGCAAGGACAGGGAGCTGCTGGAGCCAGGCCAGAGCAGGGACACCAAGGGGATCAGAGGGATGGAGCAGCTCTGCTGGGAGGAAAGGCTGAGGGAATTGGGATTGTGCAGCCTGGAGAAGAGAAGGCTTTGGGGTGACCTCATTGTGGCCTTCCAGTGCCTGAAGGGAGCTTGTAAAAAAAGAGGGAGAGAGACTTTTTACATGGGCAGATAGTGACAGGACAAGAGTGAACAGTTTTTAACTGAAATAGAAAAGATTTAAAGCAGATATTAGGAAAAATACTCAGGGGGTTGCTGAGGCCCTGGCACAGGGTGCCCAGAGCAGCTGTGGCTGCCCCAGCCCTGGCAGTGTCCAAGGCCAGGCTGGATGGGACTCTGAGCAACCTGGGATAGTGGAAGGTGTCCCTGCCCATGGCAGAGGGGTTGGAATTAGATAAAGTCTATTCCAATTCCAATCCAAACCATTCCATGATTCTATGATCAGTGAGTGACAAAAGGTAATCAAGGATTATTTGGGGTAGCAGCAGGCAGGAGGCAGGATCCAACTCTGACTTTTCAAGTCAGTCTCACGAAAGCCCTCTTGTACAATGCTATGCTTTTTCCTTAGAATGTTCGCATTTTTATCCCGACATCATGGCAATATTTTAAAGTAACTTTCCAGTGATTCACTTTGGAGGGTATTTCTGCCTTTAGCCTGCAAGAAATTCCTATCTTGTTAACCAACTTTTATTTTAGGAATTGTGTGGAGGCTTCTTAGCCAAACTGATCAGGGAAAGTGAAGGTGAAGGTGAGTGTCTCAGTTGCAAGCATCTGGGGTTAACAGCAGTAGTTTTGAAGGTCAGATGATTCACAGCTATGTTGACAGCATTTCTCAGGGTTTCTTGCCAGCCTGGAGAATCTCCTGCAGCTGTGAGAATTACCTTCTGTACTCGTGGGTGAGCACAAAGTGAGCACTCACTTCTGAATGCTCTGTGGTTAAAAGCCACAATGCTATTTTTGACCTCAGTGACAGGCAGGACTGAATGGCAGGAGCCCAAGCCACTCCTTCAGAGCAAATAAATGCTGAATAAGCTGTTCTTAGAATGCCAGCTCTACACACACCAATGCTCCACTGTCTCCTTGTGTGTAAAACATGCTCTACATCAAGCACATACTGAACTCCCTGCTGTCCTAATTCCACATCCCCCTCTCATCCTCTGCCCCTCTGGATTCATGTCTTCCAAATCCTCTGGAAAAGTTTCCAGCTTGTGCTCTCTGGACCCATCACCTCTTCTCTCTCCTGGTTCCCTAGCCTCCCTGAAGCCACCATGCCTTAAGCCTTGTCACACATATCTTTTGGATTCTTCTTCATCCTTTTATCTTTCCTTTTCTTTTCCAGTGCTGTCCTGGGAACTTTGACCAGTCCAGCCCTCCCAGTTCAGTGCTTAAATGAATTCCTGCTGCAAGCAGAGGCTAAAATCAACTGCAATTCAAATTATACTTATGGAAGTATAAAGTTTAAATGGTTCTTTCTAAGCTGTAAACATAAACACCTGGAGATGATTTTCAGCAACTCACCACCGCTCAGAATCCTTGACAATCAAAGTAATTGGAGATTGCAGTGAAAGCTTAAAGTGTAACCCCCCGTTCCCATGGTTTTCTGTTTGAAGTTTCCTGCCCAGGTACAGAAGGATGCCTATTTTGGATAAACCACTGCTGAATTCCTCACCAGCCTCACACAGAGCCCACATGATGACTTGGAGAGATCTGTGTTCCTCAGGCCGTTTGAGCACACAGCACAGCCCAGATCTGTTGTAAGTACAGCAGTTATTGTGCAAATCCACCAGATGAAATGGATGATAGGTGTGGCCCTGTCTTCCAAGCAATGCTGAAATTTCT